TGGTGACCAACAGTTCTTTAGTTACTTTATCTACCACCTTCGTTATTCTGTAAACTTTGATCATCTCATTCCTTGGCCTCCTTCTGTCCAAACTGGCAGTCCAGGCCATTTTAGTCTCTTCATAAGTCCTTTGATAATTTAGTTGCCCTTTTTTGGACTTTCTCTAAATCCGTGAAAGTCAGAGGGAAAAAAAAAAAAAGAAAACAAACCAGAGAAATACATGTGAGTGGCTACACGTGAAGTGTTCCTGCAGTAGTTCTTACAGAGACCATTTGCTCAGATTCTGTCCTGTTGCTTACTTCCATAGTCTGTTAAAGAGGATAAATATTTCATGAAAGTATTTAATAAAATTATTTAAAATTGTTAAGACGCCTTTTTGTAATGTTTACTTATAGTCCTTTAAGACTTCACCTGGATATTTATCAATTAAAAGCTTTTCACACAGTAATTTTGAGTGATTTTTGAATTTACATGTAATAGTTCTGACCCTGACTTGGAACAGTGTGTCCTGCTGTCTTACTTAATTTGGCTTCTCACACTGTGTAATATTTCAAATGCATATTCAAAAGTGGTTCTCGTGACATCATTATTCCTACAGTTCCACATTGTTTTGAATATTCTCTTTTCAGATGGAAGTCTTAAGTTTCTTACTTTTTCATTTTCTCCTCCACTGTGTTGCATATACTGTATTAACTGATTAAATCGATGCATTTGGCTGTAAATGAATATGAAATATCTACTTTTGCTGTCAAAATATTTATAGAAAACTTTGAAAATTTCCTTATGTAGTTAGGCTGGTGAACCTCACCATCTCTCTAGTGCTTCCCATAACACTGTGAGTAACTAGCAAACATATGGATTTGTTTGTTGTTTGGTTGGTTTTTTTTTTTTACATGCAAATTTGCAAAACAGTTTTGATATTGGAAAAACAGCTTTTAATCAATCTTCATTGCAGTGAGAAATTGAGATGACACCTCAAGCTGTGTTATGAGAAGCAAAGAATACAGGCAGAGGCATAAGTATGGAGGAATCATGAAAATTGCTGAAAAAGATGCACAGTGACATATTATCATAAAGTTAATAGAGGTAAGGGGAATTGTAGAGATAAGATATAAAAGTTAAGGAAAGCATTTTCTGTTCTGTATTCTTCCTATTGGGACAAGGCAATGGCAACTTCTCGAGGGAAGTGATTCTGCCCCTCTACTCTGCTCTCGTGAGACCCCACCTGGAATACTGTGTTCAGCTCTGGAGTCCCCAAGACAAGAAGGACATGGAGCTGCTGGAACGAGTCCGGAGGAGGCCACAAAGATGATCAGAGGGCTGGAGCACCTCTGCTATGAAGACAGGCTGAGAGAGTTGGGGCTGTTCAGCCTGGAGAAGAGAAGGCTCCAGGGTGATCTTATAGCAGCTTTCCAGTACCTAAAGGGGGCCTACAGGAAAGCTGGAGAGGGACTTTTTACAAGGGAGTGTAGTGATAGGACAAGGGGCAATGGCTTTAAACTGAAAGAGGGCAGATTTAGGTTAGATATAAGAAAAACATTTTTCACTCTGAGAGTGGTGAGGCAGTGGAACAGGCTGCCCAGAGAAGTTGTGGATGCCCCATCCCTGGAAGTGTTCAAAGCCAGGTTGGACGAGTCTTTGTGCAACATGGTGTAGTGGAGGGTGTCCCTGCCCATGGCAGGGGGGTTGGAACTAGATGATCTTTAAGGTTCCTTCCAACCCTAACCATTCTATGATTCTATGATTCAGAAGAAAATTGTATCAGAACTGCATCTATTGACAAAGACAACAGTAACTGATTGATTTTATTTACAGTACATGATTATCCCCTCTTACAGGTTAAGTAAAGTTGTAAGAGGGATTGTAACAGAAGGTTAGATAGAAAAACCAGTGTGGAGACATCTGAAAGCAAGTCTCCAATTATTTGCATTGAATATAAAAAACACTTTGGCCTAGTAAAAGTGATGGTAACATTATGAGCTGCCTACGTAAACTTCAGTTGTGTATGATGGTGTTGAAACTATAATTCCATTTTGTGTAAATAGAAATTGCACGAGCATAAATGATGTTCAGCTGAACATCAATCAGTCTCGTGCCAGGAGCTTTAAGAAGGGGTAATGGCTGAAAAGTTCCCACGTGTAGTGGATGTTCAGAAGTTCAAAAGACTGATGTCAGGCAAATTTAAATGGGTCAGTCCCTGAGACATTTGATCTGTCAAGAAAAAAACAGTAGTGGTAGTCTCATGCAGTCTTGAATTTCTAAAAATTTCAAGTCGTTTACCCTTAAAGATACTAAGTATGACATTGTGTTGCCCAATCTGTAGTGCATACTGTGAAATTTTTTGAATTCTTTGTTCTTTGATGTTGCTTTCAGAAGGATTCAGGGTGCATTGCACAGTCACACATATGAAGTGGTGAGATTATCTGTCAAACTTTTAACACTTTTCTCAAGCTTCAAATCTTTTCTTAGCACACATGGTTTCTTTAAAAGGTCTTACATGAACTGTCTGCTGCCTTCTTAACATTAAACATAGTTTTAAACACTCCTAATCAAATATCTTCTGCACTGTATCATTGCATAGTATGAAACATGCAGTCAGCTGTTTTGTATTTCTCCTTCATTATAAGTGCAGCCAGTAGAGACTTTTCCTACAGCTAGATATCTGCATGCTAAATAGCAAGAAACACAGATGATTTCTTTGTTTGAATAAAGGAAAAGGAATAGCTCTGTTATCAGGGGCAGACTGAGTGATAGCTTTATTTGGATTCCAGTCTATTATTTCATCTCCATGAATGACCAATTATGATTCATCTTTCCAAATACCAGTTATTTAATAAATCCTGCCGGAGAGCACAGCAGTGGAATTGAAGAGCTGTCATGGAGCTCTGCCAATAAAGTCACTGATGCAGTTACAATAGATCTGCACATAATTTAATCCCCTTGTTGCATGTGTTGAAAGCATACATTCTGGTGCTCTCACATTTAAAAGCCTTTAATTAAGGACGCTACTCCTTGTGTCTTGCATATATTTAGAGTTCTAAGGAGGTGCTGGTTTTAAAGTATTCAAGGGATTTAGCTAGCTTTTTTCCTCAGTTTTTGTCACAGAAGATGTTTATTTTACTTAGTCATTATGATAACAAGTGCTGAAGTTCTGGGATCTTCTGGTTCTCCAAGTTAGCTTTTAGTAATTTTCTTTCCATGCGTGCTTTTACAAACTATGTCTGTTACAGGAAGTGATTCCTTGGTTTGTTTTTGAGATTGGACCCCGGGCACCCTTCACTGAATATTTGCTTCCTTTGTTTCATTGTCTAAGCAGGCAGTATTGTAATAGCACAGTTAATTGACCAGTGAAATCTTTTTCTGCTTACATTCTGTAGGAAAGGTAATTTTGTGACTTTGAAAATACGCTTTTGGGTAAGTGACAACATACATGGGAAAGACTGTAGTGGTAATGTTGGACTTTTATGAATAATATTAAAGAGTAAAATGGAGATCTTTTGAAATGCTTTCAGCATGTCTGGAAATTTGTCCAACAGTTTCAGCTTGAGGCAAATATGTAGAGCATACTGGTTAGTTTTCCGCAATGATTTTTCATCATTTTCTCTCCATTGACATTCCGAATAATCTTTGAACTGTTAGAAGGCAATAGTAGTGATAATACTAGTGAAACTGTATTTTGCTTCCTTAAGAGAGGCTAGCATTTTGCAATTAAAAAAAAACTACATAAAGGCAAAAATAAATAACACCTTTGGTATCATGTGAGGCATTGCACATCATACGGTAAAGCTGTTCAGATATGTCTACCTTTCAGAAAACTGAAAATTGCCATAAAAAGTTTTGCATTTGTCTCTTAAGAGTCTCAAGATGTGTAAGTGAGAAAATGATCCTAATCTTTACTTTCATATATCCTCTGCCATAACAACTTTTCCTGTGTAGTATGTGGGGAAAAAAAGCTTTCATATTCCTGGCAGTGTCCTGAAAGAAACGGAAACATCAGTGTTCCCCAATATTTGCAGAATTGTCTCCAGACTCAATATGCTTCACTCTCCTATTGCTATAGGATGGTACCACTGTTCAAACATATTCACAATATAAGGAAGTAAGCTGAGCAATTGAAAATGTGCTCATCATTGAGAGTTAGAAGTCATGTTTGGGTACCATTTTTTCCAATCTGAAAGGTTAAATGTATTTTAGTATGAAAAAAAAAGTCAGAAATAAAAAGCAGAAGGGCTGCCTTATTAAAGAAGGAAAGTTGGGTTAAGAAAAGGAATGTTATGAGAAAGAAACCTTAATGGCACTGCAACATGATGAAAACTGATTTGGAAATAGTCAAATAATCAGTTCATAAGCAATCCACAGTCTTGCTAGATTAGGCAATACCCACAATCTTGTTAGATTAGGCAAATACCCACAATCTTGTTAGATTAGGCAATACTTAGAGTGAAAAAGATTAAAAGAAAATACTGTTTGTAAACAGTTTGAAAAATAGTTCGTATTTCTCAACAAAAGTTACTGATTTAAAACCTAAATTATTCAATATGAATAGGCTGATCAGCACTGATCTGAAAGATGCCTGGGCTTTAATTTACTGAAAATTACAGCAAGATTCACTTTTCTTTTAGTAGGATGAAAATCTGGCCTAAGAGAAACTAATGGTTTGCTAACCCATTGTTCAAAACTCAATATTTTTTCTTTGTAAAGACTAAATGTTTGGGCTTAGTTTTCACATATCAGACCCACTATATGCCACTACATGTGGAGTAAGAAATTAAAATCCAAATGTTACCTTTATTTAATGATGAACAGTAAAGTTACAAAAAGAACAGCTAGTGAACATAGACAACTTGTCAAACTTAATCAAATTTTTTATTGAGCTAGATCTCTCATTACTGTTATTTCGAGTGACTTGGTGTTTCTGAAGGAATATACTGTGATACTTTGCAACACAATTACAGATGATTTTATCAGGATTCATTTAGTGAGATTTAACAGAACAGTACCTTTCTCTTAGCTTTGAGCTGCTCGTGATATTTGTTGGATGTGTCGCCTGGTATTTCTCCTCCCCAGAGGGTAATTCCCACTATTGAATAAGTGATGCCCATGACAAGCAGTGGAAAGCAGTAGACCAGCACAATCACAATGACATGATACCTGCAATGAAAAAGCATTAGGCTAATAAGTGCTTTCAGAGGAGGTTGAGCAATGGAATGGGCTGCTAGAAGTCAAGAGTGCTACTGTGACACAGAGCGTGTTTTATATTGACTGGCTAGACTTAGTGTTTTCACTGTCTTTTTGAAAGTCTTGAATTGCACTGCAAATTTACTTACATTTTAATGCAAGTGCTTAATGGGGTTTCTAGTTCTGATCCTGAACTTGCAGTGGTGTAAATTAAGAGTGACTCTATAGTTATCATGATTACTGACTGCAGAATAAAATGTTTGTCCATAACTAGCTGCATTGATTTAATAGTTGCACAACCAAGTATCCTAAGGGCAAGCTAGGCATTTTGAGCTCTAGTCTGGACCATAAATGAAAGAGAAAAATAAGTGTTTAAATGATATATTTATAAAAATGCCCTGAAAAGCGTCCTGTGTTACCCAATGTAAGTAAGTTACCCATACTTCATATGGCAGATCATAGTCATCGCTGCTCACATAAGCACTGGGAAAAAAAAAAAAGATAACTTCTTTTGTCTCCTGTTAGTTCCTGGTTAAATGCCATCTTCAGATAAAATTCCAGTGAATGATCAGTGGAGAATCCCCAGCTGTCACTGAGAGTGACCTTACTGCCCTAAAGAGAAATACCTGTACATGGCTCCTAAAGCAGTAAAAATTATATATGACCAGAGCCTCTTTCACCTGCCTTAAAGAGAACAAAAGGTCAAATTTGATGCTGAATGGTTACACAGGCTTTCAGCCTTGAACACAGAGTTCATCTTAAATGCCACTGAGGACATGAAAAAGAAGATAATTTTTCTACATCTAGGTAACAATTTATTCCTAATTTTGCCAGAGGGACAATTAGGATATATTCAATTTAATTGACCATTATTCTTCACTTTGAGAAACTGGAACCAGTTATAAGTTTTACAGTTTTCTTATTTAGACCGATATCTGAGATAAGTAATTGTGATAGTGTAACAGATTGAGTGGGAAAATCCAACTCTCTTATGAAGAGATCAGAGAAAAAAATCTGATTAGGACAAGGAGAGGCTGGAAATACTTGTTTTCCTGGTTAGGATGAAAAGGAAGCTTGCTTTGAATTGCTTGTTCTGTCCCAACATCTGACCATCTCTGTTCGTATAGAAGTAGCCATCTTAAATGAAGCGATGATGGTAAATATGCAGCATGGGATGGGGAACACTCGTAGAAGTGGAAGAGAACAAACGTATTCCACTTATCACTTAAAATGCTCTGTCTTCCTAGCTTAGAAAACTTGCTTTACATTTCTCAGTGATCAATGCTTAATCTTAATGATCATTTATTCTGCATGTAGAGTATCTGCATGATACTCTTTTGCTTCGCCAAGTCCATTGCAAGCATAGGCACTACCATGCACGAGTTTAAAAGAACAAAAGCTTACGTAAAATGCTGTTTTGGACCACCTGGCCATGCTACATAGCAAAGAGTTCTCCCAGGCATCACCTTGGTTATGGAGTATAAGCACTGGGGAAAGGCCAACAGGAAAGCCAAAATCCATATGCTCCCAATGACCACCTTGGTAGCAGTTGCAGAGAGCCTAGGTTTCAAGGGATCAATAATGGCCATGTATCTGTAAAAGAAAGCAAAAACCTGTGCATAAGAAACCTTCAGAGATTAGGATGTGTCTAGAATCAACCAAAGCTTAGGGTTGGGAGAAGGATAAAAGGAGAGATATTTGTCTTCCTGGAGTTCTGATGGCATTATGATTTTTGGGTGGTTCAGCCCCCATGAAGGCAGTGCTGGAAGAAAAAGAACATTCATTGAATTTTATTTTAAAGCTGTGGGACACCCAGTTAACCATATGTATACCAGTAGAACAACTATTTCTCAAAGTTAGTTAATCCTGTTACTACACAACCTGATTGAAAAGCAACAATACAGCTGGATGCTCTGTTACTCTGCCACATAATCAGGGTTTATCTCTAATTAAAAAATTAACAAGCAAGCTGTCAGGATTATTAGTCATCTGTCCAAAAGCTACAGGAACCTGATTAGTCCACATACATTTATTTCAGTAGATACAGACTTCAGATCGTTTGCCAAAGAGCCCCAGACTGCAACTGGCTCATACAGAGATTCAGAGAGAAGCCGTATGAGCATTTCCTTGGGCAATGTAGAAGTGATAAAAGCACCAAGAGAAACAGATGCATGAAGCATGAAAACATCTCATTTGTTTTCTCAGTTCCTGTCTTCTCAGGTAGGATAGCATTCTTCTTGCTGCCCTATAATTGTATTGGCAATCATGTACGCTGGTAACTTTAGAAGAACATGAAAAAATCATTGAAAAGTTTGCTCTAATTAGTTACGATTTAAAAGCTTAGGGAAAAAGGGCAACAGGAAGGCATCAAGATAGACAGTAAAAGAAAAACAAGTCATGTTTTCAGTCTTTTGATCTCTGTTATAGATGCAAGGAACAAGGGAGACAGAAATTTGGTATTTTATATACTCCATATCACAGACTTCATGTGTTTTTCACATTTTTGTTAGCGTGACTACTCTTGATTTCTTGGCTAAACACTGAATTAACGTGTTTTCCACCAACTTCCCTGATCACACTATTTTGTTTCATTTAACAATGACCAAATAATGACTTGCAAAATTAGTAATTGTAGTAATTAAATAGGAGCACTTTTAAAATTTCTTCCACTATTAGGAGGAATTCTCCGAAGTATCAGCCAGAATCTCATTTAAATAAATTTTTCTACTTCCATAAAACCAGGGAGATGCTGGCTGTATGCGTGTCCATATTGTGTTACTGATATTTCATACTGAATAACTAGCTGCATGATCTTTAGTGTGACATCCTAATGCTTTCCAAACCAACACAAGGAAATCATTTTTATGTTAGTATTTTGCTTCGGATCCAGAGGGTTCCCAAAGTACATTAAAGAATCCTTTATTCACGATGGAAACACAATGCTGTTTGTGAGATAATGTAGGAGTTAACGAATCAGCTATTTAAATCAAGAAGTTTCCATGGAAGTATTCAGTGTATGTGTGCTTATTCATGAAACCAAAGATTGTCCATCTGCAGTCGTTGGTAGCATTGACATTCTACACTGTGTTTCCCAAACGATTGCTTTTCTGAAATCAGAATTAGAATAGGAATGATTTAGAAGCTCCTCAGGAATAACCAGTGCAAGACAAAAGAGAACTAACAAAATTAAAAGTCTTTTCTGTATTTCCTTGTGCTTTTTTATTTTCGTATTAAATGACAACACCTGAAGCAGATAGAAAACTGGGATGGATATGAAAACCAGCTTGAATGTTTTACTAATAAGAGTTTTCCAAATTTCTAGGAAAATGTCTGGATCAGTTTCAACATTTGTCATCAGTCACAGGGGTTAGTACTAATTCTGGAAGAAGAAAATTCTTTGCCAAAGAATGATTATGGCCCATATATTTTCCCTATCTTTCATGGTACACATGCCCTGTAATCTGATCATCTTCGACAAGATTTTTGGAGTGTATCAGTGACTTCCTAAAGGTCCTCTTTGTTTCCATTGTAGGTCTTCAGTCTTCAAGCCTGTTAACTGCCCTTGTAACTGTCTGTTTCAGGTTTTAAACGCAGTTAGAATGTCAAACCACACCTATTCCAACCTACATGTGTAGAGAAATTATTTGCAGAACTTTCTAGTGTTGCTTCCCTCCTTGTGTCATTTCCATCTTCTAAGGGAATTGAAATAAGTGAAAGATGTTGTATGGCTCTTTATTCTTTCTCTACATTTCTACCTCTATAAAGATGGATTGGGGTAGATTCAGAGACTACATTCTGTATGGAAAATTATATAGGCAGTAATAGGCATTGTATGGCAGAACTGTGGAAAAAAGATCACTTTATCTTGTCAACATTTGTAGATTTTGTGCTATTGTTGAGACTTTAGGTGTTGCTGTGGGGTTTAGAAGGTAGAAAATCAGCTTACAGTTACAGAGAATGAATTATTTTGTAGGCAAGCAAGCATAAATTTGTAGATCCTACACCAAAGTGACATTAAAGTGCAATTATTGTTATTTTTGTTGTCTGTTTTTATCCTTTCGACATTCATAGATAAAAAAAACTCAAAGCTATTCATACTGCTTACTTCTTGTGTTCTCATCTTCCACCTTGGCTTTAGATCATGAGAACCCTTCTTATACTGTTAGATGACTGCTTAAATCTGTGTTTCCAAATCCAGGCAGGATTTGAATTGAAATCCATTGAAATCAATGGATAAGCTGCCATTGATTTGAATCAATCCTTTTTTGGATGAAGATGTTCTGTTCTGCTGCAATTAGAAGAGTAGCACTCATTTAAAATGAAGGAAGGTGTGACATGTCCTGATTGTTATAGTACACACCTAGGTTCTAACCAGGCTTGCACAAGATTTTTAGGTCAGACATTGGCTACAAGACAATAATAATAATATTCATAAGATAATCATCTTGATTAGAATTTGTGCTAGTAATCTTCTGCATTCATATTTACCTGCTATGGCAAGCAAATGTTATTCAAGATATTCCTCCTTTTTGGAAATTTCATAATTATAGTATAGATATTTGTTTTAGAAAAATAACCCTGTTTATAGTTAACCATAAAATATGTGATAAATCCAACATAATGTTACTCAGCATAGCCTCTAGTAAACGTGATAACCGTGATAATACCTTAAAAAAATAAAATGCTGTCAGAAACAGAGTGATCTAAACCATCTTCAGTTCTGAATCATCAATTTCCATATCTAGAATTTCAAGCCTATTCATTTTGCATTTTTTTTACTGCACTTACATATTTTTTTTCCACAGGGTAATTGGTTCCCCTTCACTTTCACTGCTTTTTTTTGTTTGGTTTGTTTTTTTTTAGTTTTTTTTTTCAGCTAAACTGGTGCTTTTGGTATTACTTAGTAACTATGACATAGCTTTATTCTAGTGCTGGGTGTCTTGTCCTGAGAGAGCAGCAGATCCCACGAAAGTATACATCAGCTGTTGTCCCCTAGACCCTAGTTCCCTTCTCCTTGAAGACTAAGTACAACTTGGTAATGAAGTCAAGTTTGTAGTCATGAGTCCTGTCTTTCAAATTGAGCTAGCTTGAGCGTGGGCTGCCAGATACTGTCCAGAATGCTTGATGATCTTTACCTGTAGTAGGTGATAACCCACAAACAAGTAATCATTTTCACATGCTTATGGGACTCTTAAGATGTCTCCTCCTAGCCTGGAATCATTCCTTTCAATTGCTAGTTTCCTTCAGATTGCACATTGACATTATTTTATGTACTATTGTCAGATGTCTCTTCCATTCACATTATTCTTATTCTCAGTTATATTATTCTTATTCCCAATAGGTACCAGCAGTAATTCTCTTTGACTAAGACAGAATTCTGTTGTTTTATCTCCCTGTCTGGTGACTGCCCTTTAAAGATGTGGATTGTTTGTGTGAAATGACTCATACAGCGGCACTGATGGAAATTTTAACTATTGGCTGTCCGAGTAAGGTAAGTTAAAGGACAAGGATCAGATGAAAAGCAAGTTACTTGTCTTTCTTTTTGAAATCTGAGTGATAAGCCAACAGCCTAGCTTTTGCACAAGATAGAGTACAGAAATGTAGCAGGCAGTCATTGTAACAAACAAGATAGGGAGGAGGTGGAGGAGCCTTGACCATTCCCTCAGTAATGCCTTTCTGCAGGAAGAACTTAGCTGACCAGAGTATTGACAGCTCTCTACTACTGAGCCTTTGAAAACAAATCTAATTTATTCTAATTTGCCAGTACAATAAAAATTACAATGAAGAATCTTAACTTCTTCCCTAAGTGGCTTTTCTTAGAAACAAAATTGCTAATTAACAGTGAAATATTACTTTATAGCTGTGATTGTTACACTCACTCCAATTTGTCATAGAAGTTTGGTAGCATTTTCCTAGAGAAGCCATCATTGCCATAATTAAGAATAGTGGAAAATGTGGAATGACTGTCAGTTCAGGTTAAAAAACACCTCCATAGATGAGCTGTCTCTGGATGTTAAGCTCTGTAGCCAAAAGAAGCCCAGAAGATAACTAAGTCCTTCCTGCACTGCTTGCTGTCATTTACAAAGAAAGCTTAGCCACTCCTACTGATAATTTTATTTTCTGGAAACATTATCTTGACATTACTGGTACCTAAAAGTGGTAAGGTGTTTGTCTATCTCTTTAGCTCAACCTGAAAGAGCAGGACCTAATTTTTCAGTTGCCCTTCCCATTAATCTCTGTCCCTTTTGGCCAGGGTGTTTCCACCGGGAATATAAGGTCCTGCTAGCACAGGCTGGAGGTTCCATGCTTAGGTATTGCTCAGAAAATTAGTGAGGAGGCTAAATATGGGATAATGTGTATGTATGATGCAGGATATTGCCCCCATAAATTCCAGCTACCCACAGTTGACAACTGTCTGTTGTCTTTCATGGTGTAGCTCTGTCGTTAGGGCTCATTTCCTTACTCCGTTTGATATCCTTACATATATTTTATGTGATAAAATGCCAGTTACAAGGGAGAGCAGCAGACATGCTGTCTGAATTGTGCACTGAATGGTGCTGAACATGATGTAGAAAAGAGAGGATTGTGTGAGT